AATTCAAGCGCTTATGTGCATTTAATTTAGCATTTATTCAGCGTTTACGTTTAACGAACGTTGGATTTAGGCAAGCAAATTTCCTGATGTAGTAGAGGAATTGCTTACCAGTTGGTCCAATTGTAATATTAATATCCTTTGACGTGGCGAAGAATAAATAGATGCAAACCCGGGCAAGCAGAGCAACTTTCGCATAAGCTATTCCCTGAAAATGACATCCCCAATTGTAAACCCAGCAATGACGCCTCCGAGAAACCATGTCAAGTCAAAACGATCAATTCGTGTAATGATTGGGAATAAAGGCAAGAAGTATTCTGAAACGTATCGTGGAAAATGTATTCGAATCCTATTCAATTTGTCCTTGACAGTCGAGCACGGTACATTAAAAGGTGATGAATCAGACATTGTTATATGAACTATGGATAAGTGGGTTTGCTGTCAATTTATACTGTACGCGAATTGTCGCGGCTGGATGCTGAAACTCACGTGATGCTACTTATGTTACGTAACAAAAAGTAATGTGTAATGTTTAATCTCACTGTCACGTAATCATACATACAACCCACTTCGAATTTTCGTTTTGGTCATAATAAGTCAACATGCTAGTGTTGCAACCCCGTGCTTATTCTGGGATTTGACCCATTCTGAGAACGTGGCATAAGATTATTCTAATGTGAAACGGGTCAAATCCTAAAACGGGTCATAATAATAATAATAACGATAGTACTAACCCTAATACGTGTAATACCTGCAATATATATTTGTGCTACGTACTACGTGTGTTTGATAGAGTTTGCACGTGCGTGATATTAACTTGGGAACAAAAATACCAGCCCAAATATTTGTCTCTCTTACCAACAAAAATATGTAAGCCTGTTGAATATCATTTGCTCGTCGAACTATTTTCACTTCTTATGCTGATTTTAATTTTTCTTACTCGAACGCAACAAGGTCAATCGCCAAAAAGCCGTTGTCCTTTGCCGAAGACAGAGCATCTTTATTAGGATCAAACAGATCAGACACAGGTCCATCGTCGCTTGCATCCATGTACCGTGAAAGTGACGCAAGTAGAGTGTACGAGCAGCAGAACGATCTACGTTTGAAGGAACTGAACAACAAATTGTCTGCGTTACATAAGGTAATCGGAAGCCTAACTTGCAAGATTTATGGCCGTATTGCAATAAACGATCAGATGCATTTTGTCAGTACAAACATATCTAATTATAATGTATTGCGTCTGTAGATTACAGTGGACATAAACAACGAAGTGAATGCTGATATCGAGGTACTCGACGATAGTAGTGGGACTTTCTCGTCGTTCGACGGTTCGCTTTCTGGCACAATGGACAGGTTGAAGCAGATGACATCGATCCGACACCAAAGATACATGGTTTATTTGACGTGCATTGCGCTTGGGGTATTCTTTATGGTCTATTCGTTCTCTTCTCTC